TTGGAATATAGCATTTGATGAGTGAGTCAATAACTCTTGACCACACGGATGGATGGTGTTGAATTGTGATTTTATTCTGATGACTTGGCCTTATGTAATTATATGTATTTTAATGTATTTTATGGATTAGTGTATTATGAAGTGTGATGTTTTTATATTATTGTTTATGAATTTCTTGTAGTGAACCGGCCTGAGTCCCTCTTCGGAGGTTGAGAAGACCAGGTTATAAAAGCTCTAAATAAATAAATAAATAAGTTGAGCAGAGCATGAAGTGCCGCTGCGAGTTCTGTTAATCCCACAAACTACCATTACATTTTTATTTATATAGATACTAGCTGTACCTGCCATGCGTTGCTGTGGCAAACCCTCCCTCCCTCTTTCCCCTCCTTCTTTTTCTCTCTCCTTCCTTCCCTCCCTCTTTCCCTCTTTTTCTTTCTCTTCTTTCTTCCTTCTCTACCTGTTTCTTTTCTCGCTTCCTTTGCTGTTTGGTTTCATCCTTCCTTCCTTCCTTCCTTCCTTCCTTCCTTCCTTCCTTCCTTCCTTCCCTCCCTCCCTCCCTCCCTCCCTCCCTCCCTCCCTCCCTCTTTTTCCCTTCTCTTTTTCCTTCCTTCTTTCACTTTTTATTTCCTTCTTCCTTCTCTATCTTTCTATCTTTCCTTCTCTCCTTCTTCTCCTTCTTTTTCTCCCTCCTTCTTTCTTTCCTTCTTTCTCTCCTTCCCTCCTTCTTTCCCTCTTTCTCTCTCTCCTTCTCTCCCTCCTTCCTTCTCTACCCTTCTTTCTTTCCTTCCTTCTCTCCCTCCTTCTCTACCCTTCTTTCTTTCCTTGCTTCTCTCCTTTCCTTCTTCTCTCCCTCCTTCTTTCCTTCCTTCCCCCTTTTCTGTGTATGTGTTTTGTGTGTGTATATGTATATATGTGTGTATATGTGTGTGTTTGTGTGTATATATATGTGTGGTTTTGTGCATGTGTTGTAATGTAATTTTTTTTTTGGCTTTTAAAGTCTCTTCTGCTGTGTTTTTCAGTGTTTTTATGAGTGATGGTCACTTGTTGGCCTGATAGGTGTATTGTGTCCAAATTTGGTGTCAATTCGTCCAGTGGTTTTTGAGTTATGTTAATCCCACAAACAAACATTACATTTTTATTTATATAGATTATTACTAACTATCCCCTGCTGTTTGTGTGTGCATATTTGTGTGTATGTGTGTGTATATATTTGTGTATATGTATATATGTGGTTTTGCAAGTGCAATGTCATGTTTTGTTTTTTGTTTTGCTTTTTAACTCTCTTCTGCTGTGTTTTTCAGTGTTTTATGAGTAGTGGTCACTTGTTAGCCTGGTAGGTGTATTGTATACAAATTTGGTGTCAATTCGTCCAGTGGTTTTTGAGTTACGTTAATCCCACAAACGAACATTACATTTTTATTTATATAGACTATCAAAAGTGGGCTTCAAAAGGCCTGCAAATAGAGGGGATGCTGGGATAGAAGCAAGTGACTATTGGGAGCAACGCACAGCCCGAGTCCTTCATTGACGGTTTGTCCCTTTCCTTCTTCAGGGCCCTAAAGGAACCCAGGAGACGCTCATGGTCTTGTTCCCCCAAAAGTGGGACTCAAACGTTGAGCGGAACAGAAGGACACCGCCATCGCCTCCGAGTCCCAACAATAAAGGAATAATGAAACCCTAAAATGTCCAGCTGTCCTTTATGTTAATAAAGCCCAAAGAGCCGTTAAAAATGGGAAAAAAAGAAGAAAGGGGTGCATCCACATGGAATAAATAATGTAAAGCATATTCAAAGTAGAGTTGGAAGGGCATCTAGTCCAACCTCTTTGGGCAGGCAGGAAAAGCAAAATCGAAGTGCTCCCGACAGATGACTATCCAGCCTCGTTTCAATAAGGTCCAGAGAATGAGACTCTACTGAACTCCTAGACAGTTTATATTTTATTTATTTACAGCATTTATATTCCACCATTGTCACCCCGAAGGGCGGATCACAGAACACATATACCGCAAACATTCAATGCCGTTATACACAGACAGGACAGACAACAGATAGAGGTATATAGGCATTTCCCATCTTCGGCGTCCTGGAGGTTGTGTTCAATTCTAGCCACGGGAGGATGCTATTGCTCCATTTCACAGACTTCACTGTCATTTTCTGGTATTTCATTTATAGTGCCATTAAAATACCTCCCCAATTTATCTACTCATAGATGTTTTCGATCTGCTAGGTGCGCAGTGAGCTGGGCTGAAGGCCAGGCACTCACCCCAACCCGGGCTTTGAACTGTCAACCTTTTGACTGGTAATATTTATTGCAGCTGGTGGTTAACCTGCAGTGCTAAAGCCCGGCCTTAATATCATTATTATTATTTGATACACAACAAGATTACTACACAGCAAATAAGATCACTCTGCTGGCTGTTGTATTGGATCACACGTTGGACACTTCCCAAGTGTCTAGGACGGTGTGATGTATCGGCGAATAATGCKTACAGATCCAAGTCAGGTGGCCTTTTGCTGGTGACAGCTGATTATGTCAGCRCCAATTGTTTTTAAGTGTTGGCCAAGGTCTTTGGGCACTGCACCCAGTGTGTCGATCACCACTGGGACCACCTTAACTGGCTTGTGCCAGTCTTTGCAGTTCGATCTTTAAATCCTCGTATAGTGTCAGCTTTCCTAGTTGCTTCTCGTCAATTCTGCAACATTGATGATCCATATTTTGTTTTTTCCACGATCGTGAGGACAGGAGTCTTGCGCTCCAAAACTGTCAGTCTGGATTTGGAAGTCCCAGAGTAGTTTGACATGTTCATTTTGTGTAACTTTTTCAGGCTTGTAATCACATCCAGGCAGATGGTATTTGTGTAATATAGACTTTGATGGATGCAGGCTAGAATGGCATTCGCCTTTTTTGCTGCTACATCACACTATCGACTCATGTTTCGCTTGAGGCCCACTAAGACCCCTAGGTCCCTCTCCCATGGATGGTTGTGTCCTTCGGGAGGAGATCAATGGCCATCCATTAAGATGAAACTAGTAATAACACAATGAAGACTACAATGGTTTCTTCTCAATGGCCAACCTAGAAGCCCAAAGGAGAATTGGTGTTTATTTACTTTTGTTGAGTGAAACATTCCAAATACAAACAGAGAAGGCAACATCCTAGGCCAAGACAATTGGAAGATGTCTTCATTATAAATGGGTTGAATGAACAGATGGGCACAACTTGTCCACCATGGTTTGTTAGTTGGCCATATTTGGCATCCCTGGACAATACAGCCATTTCTTGGTCCATAGGCAGAACAAGGTCTTCTCAAAGCAATTTGTTCACGCTTCTTTCCTTCTGGTAGAAGGCCAACTTTGGCCGCCATGGTTTGTTGGCCACCTTTGGCATCCCTCAACGAAACGGCCATTTCGTGGTCCAAGGAAAGAACAAGATCTTCTCAAAGCAATTCTTCTCAAAGTCATTTGACCATGCTTCCTTCCTTCTGGTAGAAGGCCAATTTCACGTGGTCTTTCTTGCATGATCGATGAAGGCATCTAGGGAGGGATATAAAGGAGAGGCTCACAAAGATGAATCTCAAAGCCAAAGAAAACCACAAAGATGGCCAAGGGCTCCTTGTGCCCGATCGCATTGCTTCTGTGGGGTCTCCCCTTCCTGGCATTTGCATATGATGTTCCCGTCATGAAAGACGTCGACGTCGCAAAGGTAAGCCCTTCTAGGAGTATCAGGAGTAATCCCCATAAAAGGTGAGACATCACAATTCAGATCGACATACAATACAGGTAAGTAAGTGAAACTGTGGACTGGGATTCGGCACTTCTCAAGCATTCAGCAAGTTCAATGCTATGGGATCAATAACATTGTATAATACAAGGGTTGAATGAAAAGTAATGCCTCCACCTTCATTAATTGGGTTTGGATGGGAATATTTTAATAAATCAAACGCAGAAATAATCTTTAGAATATGCTCTTTAACTACCACTATTCACTTTTCCACATAATCACCAGACAATTGGATATATTTCTGCCAACAATGAACAAGTTTTCTGAAGCCATCACGGAAGAAGTTGACACATTTTTTCCACAACCAGCGCCTCACAGTTCTCTCATCCTGGGTACCCATCGTGCACAGATCTTCCAATAGCCAAGCAAAGCCATAATGTGACCCACACGTTCTTGTGAAATGCCGATTATGCTTGAAATTTCTCTCTGAGTGATGCGATGATCATCCTGAATCAATCTGTCAACCTTTTGCTTGTGAAACTCGGTGGTTGCTGTCACAGGACGTCCAACTCTTTGTTTGTCACGCAAGTCATATGTTTCCACCTCAACATCTTTAGACTTACTCGCCCAACGACACACAGTACTCACATCAACACAGCCACCATGAACAGCTTGCATTCTCTGATGAATCTCCTTTGGGGTGATACCTTCTGCTGTCAAGAATTCAATGACTGCAAGTTGCTTAAGTCGCATTGACTGACCGTCTGCGCAGGGTTCCATACTTCACACTTTAACAACACAACCATTCAATGCTAAGGCTTCCCACCAAAATGGAACTGTAGAGGAGAGTCTACTGAACAAGCCAGTACCATTACTGCCACATACCAGTAATGCCATCTTTTGAGAAGTTACGAAGGAGGAGGCATTAAATTTCATTCAACTCTGGTAACATTGTAAAGAAGTGGTGCTGGTATATTGTATATAATATTAATAATATTGTAATATAATATATTGTATATACTACAAATTATGAAATCTACAATATAATATATAATACTAATAGTATAACGTACTGGTAGTTTATTATATATATATATTGTGGCATAATAATATAGTATAATATATTATAATATGATAATTGTTTATTATATATTATATAATAAGACTAGTAATATTCCAGTATAATGTGTTATTATTTTTGATGTAGATGTGGATTTGTTTTTGGGGTTGGGGCAAGGGTTTGTTTATCTCTGTCTTTGTTCAGCTTCTCGTGGCATCAAATGTTTGCCGATTTTCCGTTGTAAACCTCCCTGAGTCCCCTCAGGGAAATAAAGTAGGATACAAATGAAGTATCATCACCATCATCATTATCATCGGAATTGTAATTTGGGGATGCAAAATAATAGTAGTAGTAGTAGTAATAATAATAATATGTATCTGCTGTAAAACAAACAATAATTTTAATAACAATAATAATAATAATAATAATAATAATAATAATAATAATAATGTGAAAATAGTGCCTAATCCCATGCATCATCATCATCATCATATGTATTATTTCCTTGGGACCTCAAGGAAATAATACATACGATGGTGTATTATTTCCTTGAGGATCGACATACAATACAGGTAAGTAAGGGAAACAGTGGACTGGGACTCCGAAACTGGATTTGGCACATCTCAGTCATTCATTGAGTTCAATGCTATGGGAGCATCATATCATATTTATTAAAAATGAACAAATCTGGCTACCAGTATTAAAAAAAACTCAATAATTACAACAGCAAAACAACAGAGAGTAAACAATCAGGCGCATCAAATCACTCTCAACAAAAGATTCCCCCCAGGCACTTCCAAGCCATTAAAGGCTAATCAAGGTGGTCAGTTGAAACATTCACACCTAGCTCCAGTAGACAAAAGTCCTTTGTCCCAGCCTGGTCATTCCACAGATATATAAACCCATTTTCCTAGTTCCAACAGACCTCACTACCTCTGAGGATGCTTGCCATAGATGCAGGCGAAACGTCAGGAGAAAATGCCTCTAGAAAATGGTCATATAGCCCGGAAAAACCTACAACAACCCAGTGATTCTGGCCATGAAAGCCTTCGGCAATACATCATATTTATTATTTTATTGGGACCTCCCAAAATCCTTTAAAATTATATTAGTAGTAGCAATACAACCCAAAGGACTGGGGTTCGAATCCCCATTTCAGGTGCAGCTACACTGTTGAGTAAATGCAGTTTGGCCCCGCTTTATCTGCCCTGATCTCAATGCTATGGAATCCCTGGGAGTTGGAGGTTAGTCCTCGTTGGCTGAAAAGGCAAAGAGCCTTGGGAACTACAACTCCCAGGATCCCCTGTGTTACTGAAATCAGCTATCTGTCACCAGGGGGCAGTGTAAGTCTGCTGCCCATCACGTCATGCTACTTTGAAAACCAGAAAAACATGACCGGGTTTGAAGGCAATAACAGAGGTTTATTCAACTGGCCAGATGAATAACAGAACAGCGTAATCGCCAAAAGAACCGGCATAACTCATACAGAAAAGTGCAGCACATTTTATACAGCCTGGCACCTATTCAAACCTCCCACTCCCTCCCCTGGTTGGTCAGGAGACACGCCTCCTAGGATCTGCTTTCTCATTGGCTGAGACATCCTCCTGACATAACAGACCAGGGCGGAAAAAATGAGAGAGCAGGTGGGATTGGTGGGGTTTAGTGCCTGCATCTGACTGTGTGAGCCTCATTGTCCAGACTGAAAAGAATGGGTATTTAACACTAATGGACTTTGGAAGCTTGGAATAATCTCTACACAAAGAGTGAGGGAAACTAGAAACAGTCAAGTGGGTAAACAAAGTCCTTAATGAGTCCTGGGGTTGATGGCAATCAGTCTCTGAACAGAGAGTCCACTGGAAGAATCTGTGTTGTTTCTCAAGACAGGCACATAGTCTAAAGTCACATAAGCACTATAGAATAGAAATTGTGATATTTGATAACCTTGGGTCTAATCATGTGGATCTTGTGCTGGTCTTCTTGGGTCGACAGGGTTAAGGGAATTTTATCTTGTTATTTTCTTTATTGTTCTGGTACAGGTGTACCAGGAGCTCCAACTTTATTTGCTTTGTATTAAATGTTTGATTGCAGTCCTAGGTTTCAGGGACTCTGCAGATAGGTGGCTCCTTTTGATGGCAGTCATAGGGCAAGTCACCTGTCCACCATCGTTACGTTTTGGTCCCGCCCCTTGCTCAGGGCAATTGGGAAGGGAGCCATTTTTTTAGTTAGTCTCAGCAAGGAAAACTAATGTATAGGATGTGTGCAAGCTTCCCCTGTACAAAAGCTTCAACCTTCAGAATTTCCAGGAAAACAGCCCTAAAGACCAAAGAACTCCAGCTGGAGAACATCTAAGCTTTTACTGGTACGTCCACTCGGCGTTCGAGTGGTAGCGGAGCCTACATCAGTAAGGGTTAGATTACAGTCAGCCTGGGAGAAGTTAAAAAGGGGATTTTCCTTTAAAGAAGAAGTTATTAAAGACAGTTGACTGTCCTTCGTGGGCAAGATCAGGAATTCACCAGTTGCCTAAAAGCTTAGAATCATTTGTTTAACTTTACTGAAGACAAGAGAAGTTTCTGTTTGATTGTTCATTAATAAAAGACTTTGTTGTACTTCACAAGCCATCTAAAGACTATTTGTGGTGAAAATCCTCTGAGAACTTCTCTTTAGGCCCCCTGGCTTCCCACTGGGCAAAGGTTGCACGTCCTATCCTAAAGGAAAGTCTTTACAGGCCCAGCGCGCGACAGAACATTTATCTTGAGGCTGAGAGGGTGGGGCTTGCAAGGTGAGGGAAAGGTCTTAACAGGGAAAGAGGGGGGGAGATGGAGAGGATGAAGATAATGGGCTGGCCTGAGTGATTTCCTCACAAACCCGTTTTTGGTTTGGTGAATGATTAGATTAACCCTCCCAAGAATGTTTGGGATTGGGCTGGGGCTGAGCTTGGCTGAGACCCATTCAAGCTCTTAAAAATATGTTGTAAATTTATAGCTATTATTATTGGGGGGGGGGGTTGATTTTCCGAGGAAAGCTGGTGGTTCAACCTGGACCAAGCTGGATTTGTTCTGCTGTGTAGACACACCCCTGGCTTGACCTTTCCAGGAATTAATCCCACTTTTCTCCCTACCCTCCTTATAGCTGGCCGGAAAGTGGTACCCACTGATTTTCATCAAGACGGACAGTAATCCGAAACCAACCTACGCGTACATAATAGAGCCCATAAGTGATGGAGGCCTCTCGGTGAACATGCAGATCCCTAAGTGAGTGGCCTCCGGAATCCCCCCAAATCTACGAAACAGGCCAAGAGGATGAAGCTCCTCAGAGGCCCTGAGTATTGGAGCAGACTTCAGACTTTAGGACATGAGTTGTCCGAGGGTTTGGGGTCCGGACTCAGTCTCCACCTCCAAGGCACTTCCAGAGGATCCCAATCTGATAGCAGTTCCAAATATGGGTCCATTTCCTTCTTTTTCCTTTCTTCCTTTCCTTCCCTTCCCGTCTTTTCCCATCTTTGCTTCCTTCCTTTCCCTCCTTCCCTCCCTTCCTTCCTTCCTAGGAATCAGGCCTGCATTGTGAAAAAGATACCCATGCGCAAGACCAGCCCTGGAGTCTTCACCTTCCCAAGTAAGCCCAAGAGATAGGTTGTCTTCCCCACATGGGAGTTGTAGTTCCCCCAAGGGCCTCAAACCTTCCCTTGCCGTGGGGTTCAATAGGGTTAATGAACATCTATCTGCTGTGGGTTTCTCTGGACAGACGGAACTGGGACCATCATGGATACGGATTACAAGACTTACATCTTCAGCCACTTTGTCATAGGAAACACCAACTTGATGGAACTTTCTGGTACGTTTCCCAGATTTATATTAGGGGCCCCATTTTTAAAAGTCCATTGGAATGAATGGGAAGGCCGCCTCTCTAGTACACTCAACATGCCGCCATTATTATTATTATTATTATTATTATTATTATTATTATTATTACATATCATAGACTAGTATTTCCTCAAACTTGGCCTTCCGGAATCCCTGCCATAGACAAATATGGAAGCCCCACTAGCCAAGTGTAACAGACTGGACCTTAGTGTGTACTATAAATCCCAAATAGATAAGTGAAGTGGGAGAAAGTGTCATTAAGGGTGAGTTTTTTTTGGGGGGGGGAGGACACTCTGACATAGCCACATACTCTCTGATCAGGAACCTCATTAGTCAAGTGCAACAGGCTGGTCTGTAGTGCGTACTACATCTCCCAAATCAACCAAATCTTGGTGAATATAATTAGAAAAAATATTTGGGCCCCGGGATGTATTCCCCCATAAAATCTTCCTAATGGAGCCCATCGTCCTGCACTACGTCTCCCAAGATGAATCCCTCTTTCCTCCTTCTTTGGGGTCTACTTTCAGGCCGAGATAAGAAAGTACCTAAGGAGGTCAAAGAGAAGTTCAAAGCCTTGGTCAAAAAAGTGGGGCTGAAGCCGAGGCATCGCATCGAACTGCAGGAAAAAGGTAACTGGGAACGATGGGTTACATAGTCATTGGAAAGAGGAAAGGAAACCGCTTCCTCTCATCTGAATCTCATGTGTCTTTGCTTCCGCAGATTTGTGCACAAGCCCTCCGGCATAGGTAAGATGAATATATATGATTACCTTTATATTTGTGTATCCTGCCTTTTTCCAAACAGAGGGCCTCCAAAGACATGTCAATAGATGGGATCTCTTGTTCTATTCCACCTTTCTCCCAACAGAGGGCCTCAAAGAGGGGCTGGGCTTAGCACAGCGGGCTAAACCTCAAGCTGCAGAAAATGCTGCTAATCGAAAGGTCGGCGGTTTGAGCCCAAGTTGGGGTGAGCACCCTCCATCAGCCCCATCTCCCTGTCCACCTTGCAGATCAAAAGCAGTAATGAGAGTAGCGAGCAGCAGTTAGATAATTAAATGCACCATTAAAGACATTGATCGGGAGGTCATCTAAGGATGACAAAGCGCCTTGGCATGGAAGATGGAGCGACAACACCCCCTGTGGCCGGAGTTGAGCACAGCCTCCAAGATGCTGGAAATAAGATGAGGAATGCCTTTGCCTCTGTTCGTGTACTATCTGTCTTTGTTAATATAATGTCATTGAATGCTTGTTGTATGTGTGTTCTGTACTCTGCCTTGAGTCCCCTTGGGGAGAAAGAGCAGAATATAAATACAGTATATTATTATTATTATTATTATTATTATTATTATTATTATTATTATCAAAAGGGGGTTGCAAAAGGCCTGCAAATATAAGGGATGCTGGGGTAGAAACAAGTGACCATGTGGGGCAATGCACACCTTCATTGACAGTTTGCCCCTGTTCTTCTGCAGGTCCCTAAAGGAACCCGGGAGTTATAAGGTCACCAACCGCCACCAAGTCCCAACAGTAAAGGAATAATGAAACAACCGTAAAACGTCCAGCTGTCTTTTTTGGAACCCTGGCTCTCTTTGGCAAGGAAAGCAAAAGACACCAGAAGGGAACTGTTATCGAACACCACTACACACACACACACACCCCAATAAAAGTGGATTTATAGTTAGAGATCTATAGTTTGCCAAGGACATCTGGCTGATAGGGTATAAAGGGGGTTAAGTCTTGTTCACCTTACAACTGGACTAATAGCAGCAAGGATCCCCTCTACATATATCTATATATATATACACACACACACATACATATATATAAAAAGGTAAAGGTAGTCCCCTGACATTAAGTCCAGTCATGTCTGACTCTGGGGTGTGGTGCTCATCTCCATTTCTAAGACAAAGAGCCAGCATTGTCCGTAGACACCTCCAAGGTCATGTGGCCGGCATGACTGCATGGAGGGCCGTTACCTTCCCGCCGGAGCTATTGATCTACTCACATTTGCATGTTTTCGAACTGCTAGATTGGCAGAAGCTAGGGCTGACAGCGGAAGCTCACGCCGCTCCCCGGAATCGAACCTGCGACCTTTCGATCAACAAGCTCAGCAGCTCAGTGCTTTAACCCACTGCGCCACCGGGGGCTCCATACATACATACATATCAGAAATTGACATGTAGCATGTCAATTGTATGCCCTGTAGGAGTCTACCATATACCATGCAGCTGTGGACAAGTCTACATAGGGACCACCAAACGCAGCAGCATTGCCCAGACACAAATCAAGGGACATTAAAGGCACTGCAGACTAACCCAACCAGAGAAGTCAGCCATAGCAAAGCACCTAATGTACCAATCTGGACACAGCAGAAATGCTGGAGCACTCTAACAACTGACCTATCAGACGACACAGAGAAGCCAATGAAATCCACAAGCATGTGGAAAATCTCAACAGAAAGGAGGAAACCATGAAAATGAACAGTATTTAAAAAAACCTAAAATCAGGACAGTAAATAAAGAGCAATACTCAGAAAATAGGGGAATTCCAGACAGGGAACAATCAGGGCCAGCTAACACCGCCCAACAAGGAATTTCCCCAAGGCAGGAAGCAGTCAGGCTTTGAAGCTGCAAGGCTATTCAATACTAACAAGTTGGCCAATTCGTACTTGCCTCCAACAGACAAGAGTTCTTTCTCCCAACCTGGACATTATTCCACAGATATATAAACCCAATTTTCCTAGTTTCCAACAGACTTCACAGCCTCTGAGGATGCCTGCCATAGATGTGGGCTAGGCATGGTTAAGTTCGGTCGGAATCTTTGTAATTCGGAATAAATTCGGAAAGATATGCTTTTTGAAGTGATTTTGAAGTTTGTAAGGAAAACGGAAGTCCCTTTGCCTTTCTGAAACTTTTTCGGCCATTTCTGTTATGAATCAGTAAGTGAGTCGGAATCCCCAGAAAAGTAGTTTAAAACCAGAGTGGATGAATTCCCTCCCTTTCCTTTCCCCTGGCTTCTGTCTTGAGCCAGAGAAGTGTTTAAAACCAGAGTGGATGAATTCCCTCCCTTTCCTTTCCCCTGGCTTCTGTCTTGAGCCAGAGAAGTGTTTTAAACCAGAGTGGATGAATTCCCTCCCTTTCCTTTCCCCTGGCTTCTGTCTTGAGCCAGAGAAGCGTTTTAAACCAGAGTGGATGAATTCCCTCCCTTTCCTTTCCCCTGGCTTCTGTCTTGAGCCAGAGAAGCGTTTTAAACCAGAGTGGATGAATTCCCTCCCTTTCCTTTCCCCTGGTTTCTGTCTTAAACCAGAGGAGCGTTTTAAACCAGAGTGGATGATTTTCCTCCCTTTCCTTTCCCCCGGTTTCTGCCTTATACCAGAGAAGTGTTTTAAACCAGAGTGGATGAATTCCCTCCCTTTGTCCCCCCCCCCCTTTCTGGAGTATAACAACTACTTTCAAAGTAAAGATCACCCAATGAAACAGGGAGTAACACTTTCAAACCATGAAGGATTTGGAAGTCTCTGAAATTTCAAAAGGTTTTGAACATTTTTTTCTGTGAAAATCGGAATTGACTTTAGAATTGAACCACCAGTGCCCCCTACATCCAAAATGAGTTTTGAACCATTTTTTAAAATCAAACAAGCCTAATGTGGGTGAAACATCAGGAGAGAATGGCCATATAGCACGGAAAACTCACAACAACCCAATGATGAAAGCCTTGGACAATATACTTTCATTGAGCAAGGTTGTTGTGTAGCAATGTAACAAAGGACAGGCGATAGCACCCAACTACGGCCATCTTTCTTTACCTAAGCAATGCTCCCTATGCTTGCAGGAATCCTACTTGCATCCACTTTGGTCAAAATGCATTAAAAAGCCTTCACTTCTCTGGTGAGTTTGTAATCTGGAACTTTGGGTTGGCATAAATGCTCACCAGGCCAAATTCGATCATGTAACGGTGGTCTAAATTCCATATCAAAAGTCAATGGGGTCTCCTGTTATATTCCACCTTACTCCTAATAAAGGGCCTCAAAAGTCATATAGAGTCGGATGCAGGGCTTTGCGTACTTTAATAGCTTCTTGCTCTCTGGCCACAGATGACACAGAATGGATTCCAAGGGGGGCTCAGTTGAGCATGAAATTGGGTGAGATGCAGCAGCCCAAAAGGCCAATACGATTCGTGTTGAATTTCACCTCCCGATTCTCCCAACAGATGTTAATGCGCTCCCTTTATCAATTGTAGCAAGGCTCTAGAAAAGGGAAAGCACAAAGTAAACAAACAAGCAAACATCAACAACACAAAACAAAACAAACCCTCAGGTTGCCATCTCATTTCTTCAAGGCTGATCCTCTGTAGTTAGGAGCCCCTTTGCCTTGAAAACACAAGGTTTCCTTTCCAATGTGTTGGACATCCCTTTGACACTGCCATGGGCCAGAGGTTTAGCACAGCTGGTAAATCATCAGCAATTATAAGCTCTATCAACCAAAAGGTTGCAAGCTCGAAGCCCCGGGTTGGCGTGAGCTGCCAACTGTCAGCCTAGTWCATTGTTTACCTAAGCAATTTGAAAACAGCTTTAGCTGTGATTAGAGAAATTAGGTACCGCTAAAAGCAGGGGAGGTGTTTTACGACGCCATAAAAAAAGAAGATGAGAAAATGCTGGGCGACCAAAAAGAAAGGAGGAAGTCTTGATGGCTCTTCGTCATAGAGGATAGAGCAACAGCAACCCCTGGACTTGAGCCCAACCTTCCAAAAACAGCTGAAACAAACCACCTCCTTCTGTTCTGTCCATCTGTGTATTGTTGATACAAAACGGCATTGAATGTTTGCCGTGTATATGTACTGTGATCTGCCCTGAGTCCCCTTTGGGGTGAGAAGGGCAGAATATAAATAAAGTGTTGTTGTTGTTGTTGTTGTTGTTATAGATGAATATTTATTTATTTATTTATTTATTTATTTATTTATTTATTTGCCATATTTATATACCGCCTTTCTCAGCCTGAAGGCGACTCAAGGTGGTTTACAATCAGCCTAATTCAATGCCCCCAACAACATAAAATATAATTAAAACATTAACATATAATATAAGCCATATTAGAAACAATAGGAACAATAGAAACAATAAAACACAAGCGTCTCATTACTAAAATCATTTTCCAGTCGCATCGTCCAATCGTTCTGTGGATCTAAATTAGCCTGTTATATTGCATTTGCAAATGCTTGCTCAAAAAGAGAGCTGATCTAATATCCCTAGGAAGGGCGTTCCATACCTGAGGGGTCACCGCTGAGAAGGCCCTGTCTCTAGTTCAGCGAAAAAGACGGGACCAAGAGCAGGGCCTCCCAAGACGATCTGTGGGGTCCTGGGAGTTGTCATTTATCAAGGTTTCAGGCCTTCTCCCCCATGGAGAGGCAAACTACAACTCCCAGCATCCCATTCATGGCCATTAAAGTCATATCAAACTGCAGTCATTTGACCTCATACGGCCCTGGGAATAATAGTTTCCCAAGGCCTTGGGCCTCCTCTGCCAGAGAGCAATGGACTACAACTCCCAGCCATGAAAGCGGTACCACATGGCATTCGTTCCGTGTTATAGATGCAGTACCGGCTCCTCCATCCCTCCTGATGTTGCACCGCTGCGCCCATTCCTTTCCTAGCAAGGGGCTTCTGGAAGTTGTAGTCCAAGAAGACATGGGTAGCCGTGTCATAACCTCCAGTATCCCCCCCCCCCCCAGACACACACACAAAGTTCTTACTTTCCCAAACAGGGTAGGAAATGTTCTCTACTGGGAAGCCATTGGCGGCCGCAACGTCATCAAAGATCTTCCTCTTCTCGATATTGCTTCTGTGCGTGCGACCTGGAAGGATCCCGAAAGCAGTGCAGCCATATTTACTGGGAGAATAAAACATTGGCTTCTGTCTCATCTCCTCCACCTTTGTTGGGAGCATCCGCACTGCAGGATTTAATGTGCTTTTGGCACCCCTTGATCCATGGGATTCTGGGATTTGTTGTTTACACCCAGGATCCCCTGCTGTGGAGCCGTGGTGGCTCAAGGGCTACCAAAAGCGCATTCAATCCCGTAGTGTAGATGCACCGGGAAGCCCATGGCTTTCAAGGATCTGTCCATCACTTACTGAAAAGCTCGAGCTTATTGGTGTCGATAAGGACGACGGCGTAGTTGCTGTAGTCTGTCTGGACAACGACAAAGTTTGCCACTTCAGCTGTACATAAAGTTTATACAAGAATAGATTATATTTTTGTTTCTAAAAACATGTTAAGTAAATTGTACATTTCCAGGGCCTAATAGAGGAAAGTGACCTGGGTAATTGGTAGAAAAGATATGGCCAATTTAATTAATAACTGGACACTGAAATTGCTAGATGAAATAAGGGCAGAAAGATACGATCTATCCTGGTTTCAATATTTATAAATCAAGGAAAGCTACAGGGAAGATGTAAAACATGACTTTACTTCGCAAGAAACAATC